GTTGTACAGCACACATCCAGTGCAACTGTATAAGTTAACCCTCTTCACTGGCATCTGAGGGTGTTAAAAAAACAAATTCATTTCAAGGACTTAGTACTTGGCATATAAATGTTAGCTATACTTAAACTATTTCTCAGAAGGAAATCTCCCGAAGGGAAGAATCAAGTAGTAGAATTTGAAAATCGTTCATAAGTAGTGTTACCAACCGACCTGTTTGCCCTTGACTGAACAGGTTCACAGTGTACAGAAATTTCACTTTTTAAACTAGGAAAACCCCAGGCAAACTGAGATGCGTTACCCATAAAAAAGAAATATATTTAATCCTGAGAAATAATCTAGAAGCGGTTAAGATTAACTCACTCTATCCACTGTTTACCAATATTAGAAACAGCATCTGACTAAACATTATGAATTCTTCAAACTAAATATAAGGGTCAGTGGATGAACAGGATTACCGTTGTTCTTCTTGGCACAAAAGTCAAAATTGTCCAGCTGGTGCAGAAAATAGCACAGTTCCTGTGGCTTGTGGCTTTGAAATAATAGCACTGGATACTTCAGCATAGGATCAGATGGCTGAGATTTTTTTTCTTTTCTCTTCTTTTTTGACTGAAGCAAAAAGGTTTGAATATACCCCCCATCCTCTAGACCTGAAAACCTCAATTCCAAAGAAAACTGCTGACTAGGAAATGTGTAGTTGCTACAGGGCATCTTGTTGTGTTGCTCTGTTTTTTACAAGCCATAAAAGAGGAATTGCATTTTATCCTTATGTATTTACTGCATCACCATTGTTCAAATGTAATCTATACGTTGGCACTTGGAGAAATGAGGCGAGAAGTGGTGTTGGTAATGGTCTTAATTAAATCAACTATTTATGATTTTCTCTTAAAGGTCTTTATTTGCATAGCCTAGAGCAAAAACACAGCAGGCTAGCAGCAGTCAAATAGTAGAACAGATAGAATTAGCATGGCGGCCCTAAAACACCAGTTTTACTCTACAAGTCTCCCTTCAACTGAGCACTAAGTTGGATTTTATTGGGCAAGCCCCGACCGCCCAATGCTTTTGTGAGTCATCCCATGGACCACAGCATTATTACTGGTTCACATTTATTTGGAATGCTAAGAGATAATAAGGGAGGCTAACAGACAGTTCATTCCAAATAGAGATCTCCTCACTGTACAGAAGTTGAATGTGTCCCTTTTCAATGGAATTTTTTCTTGCCTCATAGCTCTATATCTTAAGTGGTGTCTTACGTCTTACCCATCAGGATAGTGGCCACTATGAGGTCCTGGGAACAGGGATATTATCCTTTTTTTTTTTCTTTATCAGTTTCCAAGTCAGCATCTTTGATCTTTGTTCTTAGAAACAGCTGTGCAAAATTTTATACCAGCCCATTTCTTTATCAGTTCATACTTATTAAATGAATCACTAATGAGGGGAAGAAGACGGATTGCTGAATTGTTGCAGTTCACTTAGAGCACACTGTAGGGAAAGCAGCGTGAATACAGGAAAACCCAAAGTTAACCTCCAGTTTGAGGAGGTTGTGAATGATAGAAGGCAGCAGGGATAGAAATAAGTTTGTGGAAGTAAAAATAGATGTCATTTTTACTTCACTTTAAAATATTTGAAATAACCTGAGGAGACAGTGGGGAGGAGTGGAAGTTTTATCTTTTGGGTGAAAGTTTACTGGAATCAACATTAAAATCGGTGTTCACCTCACAATACTCACAAATTTGGCAGCATCTCAGGTGGATTAGGAGAGTACTAGGGGAGAAGAGGAGTTATTAAATCAGAAGGTGGGTATCCCACATCACAGAGTCTCAAGTCAGTATTGGGGAGATTAGCATGCAAATTTTTTTGACTTTAAAGGCCATTTGGTAGACCCTCATGGCTAGTAGTTTCACCCATCAAGTTTGTATCATGTAGCTACATAATTTTAAATAGTAGGTCAAGGATTGAGTTTTCTTCATCATTAACCAAGCTCACAGTATCAATCTTTGACAAACATTCTTACAAATCTGGAAGCAGAATACCAATCAGGCCAGGCTCTTGTTCTTTTTCCTCTATGTAGGAAGGCCTTTAAAGTAAATGAAGTTTTGTTCTTGGAATAGATGAAGAGACCCATGTCTTGGGATGGAAATCAGACTGAAAAAGAAGGTAACAAGGAAGAGATTTTCTAACTTGATAGTGAGTTAAGAGATTGAGGTCTAATTTAGCTATTCTGCCAATTTGTGGTGCAATCTTTCATTTTATTACGTCTCTCGCTTTTCTGTCAGCAAGATCAGAAGCAGTAATACTACATTGACATGAAAAATTCCAGGTTATCTCACCAACTTTTGCAAATTATCATAGACACTTGGGCCTAAGGCTTGAAAGAAATTAGGCCATGCCTAAAATAAATCATGCCCCAGGAAGATAAATTGTTTCATAAAAATTAAAACTATTGCCCCTGGTAACTGTACTGGACTTCTTAAAGCCTGTGATATTCACTAGAATCAGCTCCTGACACTATCAAGTGAGAGAAAGACTGTGGACCATTTTGTAGCTTAATAAAGCTTTTTACCTAATTTTTAAAATCTGTCTATTAAACAATATTTACAGATACTTCTTGGATTCAAGATAGGAAAGTCAAATCCACCTCAACGTGGGAAAGATTTTTTCTAAAGATTTTCTGTGAAGGAAATTCAATATCATTCTTCATTAACAGATCCAAGTTCCCTATATATTTCATGTCGTTGTTGAAATAAATTGTTAAGAAAACTGAAGATAAAACAGTTTGCTAGTAGAAAGTACCATATAAATTCACACTTAACATTGCAGGAGTGACTCTACCAATGGTTTCAAGCTCACCAATTCTGGTTTCCAGGGATTCTACCTTTGACCCTCTTCTTCAAAACTGGGGGAAAGTAGAACAGTTCTCCCTCAAAAGGAGGTTTTTAAGATTTTGAAATTGAAAATTTTTTAATAACTTCCCAAATTTTAAAACGAAAACAAAAACAGTAGTTTTAAAAAAGAAGAAAAGCAAACAGAGAGGTTAATAGCCATGCTGGTAACAGTTTAGTGATTCTGACACTAGGCAGGTACAACTAGGAGTTGGTTAGATACAGGAGAGTTGTTCTCAGATGGTTCATTTGAAATGTAAGCAACTGGGAATCTGAGTAAAAGGCACACTGGAACTCTGTGTATTTACTACAACTTTTACCAAATTTGAAATTATTTAAAGATAAACACTTTTTTTGAAATAGAAGTAGTTTTTAAAATAAAAACAACAAAAAAAGAGTCAAATGTTTTTCTAGATCAGTGATTCCAAAAGGGTGTTTCTGAACCAGCATCATCACCTGAGAGCTTGTTAGGAACGCAAGTGTCACATTTAGTGAAGAATATATTACTGGTTGGAGAGAAACTTTGCCAGACTCAGAAAACAAAGGGCAGGATTAATATGCAAATATGTCTCTTGGTTAGTGGGAAGACATCTCAGGTACAGAGGAGAAACAGGAAGCCAAGTAGAGTAAAACCTGAGGGAGGGTACATAGGCAATGCGGGGACAACCTGTGTATCTGAATATAGAAATCGCGCTACGCAGAAGAACTAACAAACCAAGAACCTGCCTTCGAACAAGTGGGCAAGGAGGAGGCAGTGTGCTAATACTGGAATAAGTCCTGGAGGGGAAAACATCTACATCTGTACATGCAGGTTTACCACCCCGCCCAAATTAGCACTTTTAATACTATAACACATCATGACTTATAATGAGCTTTCACTTTAAATCTGAAGGTCATTTACATTCTCACTGTCCTCATATAGTCACAGTCAAATAGCGAGCATAGAAGTACACAGCAGCGATTATTCCACAAGAAAGATACGAATCGCCACAACATTTTAGTGGAGGGACAGATATCATTCAGCGGCAGCAGAAGGTCAGTAAAGGTAAGGCTGAGTAATGTTTGAAGTGGAACTAGAAAGCACAGTCTTGAAAGACAAACCACGTGTTTGCTAGACTCCACCCTTGTGTGGAGAAGTGATTGTAAGGTTCAAATCCTGACACCAACAAACTGTGGCCTCCAGAAAGGACTGTCTCTTCCATCCACTAAATGAAATTGCTTTCTTTTCAATTATAAAGTAAACATCTTCAAGCAACCCACTTGAATATTAAGATCCAGCCAAATAAATAAATTCATTGTAGAAATCCATGAAAGAAATTCTTTCCTAAGCAGTTGTAGCCTATAGTCCCTGGTTTTGCCTGGCAGAATGAAGCTGAGGTGAACCCATCTCTCTTCATCACCTCCAAACCAGAGTTTCATCAACTTAGAACACTTGGGCCCAGTTTGGCCGTTCATTTTCCTTGCATTGTAAGCTTTATTGCCAAAATGTTTGCTCCGGCTATCCAATATACTTTACCTGGCTCCCAGGCAACCAAAGAGACTTAAGTTGGAAATTACCTATGAAATGCCAATAGTATGGACGGATAAAAGATCCAGCTGTGTCCTGTCAGAAGCAGAGCCAAAGCCTGCATTATCTTGATTGGTTGCCTAAATTTACCAAGAAGATCTGGGCAGAGCAAATTCATTTTACACCTACATGCCAATGAGCACTGGAAATTATAAAGAGAAAATTTATACTGAAAAAGAATATTATTTACTTTCCTCCATTAGTCATATGACATTTAAATTTGGAAGCTAAATTACTGTAGAGAGAAAAACTACCTATTGGCTAAAATAATAAGGATAACCTTTGGTGCATCACTGCCAACAGCTGTACCTTAGATCCAATAGTCTTAATCAGCAGTTTTCTTGATAGTATCTGCTACTGAATACAAGAAGGAAAATAGGCTTCATATAGCGAGTGTTTAATAAACACTAATTACTGGAGACAATGTTCCAATAACATTGAAAGTGGCTACCTTCCTATTTGAAGAATATAAAAACAGGGGAACACAATGCTCTTATGAAAGTTCTTCTGATTAGATTTGGCCTGAATCTAACCATTCTTTCTTCCCCAAACAGGGAGAACTCCTTGAATGTTACATTTTCATAGCAAGCCCCACCAACAAATAATATCAGGTAAAACTTCTAAGTAAATATTATTTACATATAATATTATTTAAATATTATTTGATAACTTCAATTTGTGTTTGTTGAATTTATTTTTATTATCAAATGAAAAAGTTAATTTGCAAGACAATTTTTAGAATCTTATGTGGTCTTTGATAGATGGGAGTTGATGCTTCGTCCATCCCAACTAGTCCCCAGGGACAACTTGCTAGTGCCCCCTTGACCAACAGGAAGAACTAAGAACATGATTTTTCTGATCTATGATGCGAAAATGCAAAGAGAGAATGCGATTTGGGAAGAAATTTGCTTAAAGATCTTGTCTAATTAAATAGAGGATTGCATGTAATGAAATATAGATGCTGTTTGCTGGATGAAGAAGCTCTAGTTCTGGAACCCACAAAACCTCAAATAGAGCGAAGGCTCCATTCTGCATGTTAGTCTAGGCCATTTTATAAGCACTGGAAACACATTCACAGAGATAAAAGAAAGTATTTCTCCTCCTTTTCTTTCTGTTACAAGATGCAGACTATTTTTGTAGAGCACGATAATGAACTACTGTCTTTCTAAATGTAAAACAAACACAAATTCAAAACATCCTTTCTTTTATAAAACTGTTATTTACTCCATATTTCCAATGTTAAAAAATGCTGGTAGATTTTATTCCTGTGAGATAAATACAGCCAAAAATACAAAAGCCTTCTCTAGTCTGCACTGGAACAGAGAAATTGAACTATACGTTTGTATAGATGTTAATTATAAAGGATGGTGAAGGACTGGTACTGGTATGAGGGAAAGAGTGTATTAGGGGTGGAAGGATTGGCAAGATATGGGAGGGGAAGTTGGCAGAGATGTTTTCAGATGATGGCAAAGAAACACGCACTAAAGAATGAAGTTCAGGAGAAAGAAAAAAAAAAAAAAACCTTGGCACCTCAAGAGAAAGTTTAATCCAATTTTAGAGCTATTGGAATCATAGAAAATGAATGGAAGTAAGAGAATAATCAACCTAGGATACTGGAGTAAGATGCTGCATCCCCAAAATATAGAAGACGTAATGTGAGAAAATACTTGTTGGAAACTTTGGCATGTCAGGATTCAGATGACACTTAGAAAAGGAATTACAAATAAAACTGGATGTTGTGCATAAACAAAAGAGATTCTTACTATTGTGGGGTATAAAGAAATTAAAAGAAAATAGTTCCATACCGACCTAGAGTAGAGAGATCTAAGAAAAAATAGATACATCCAGAAGAATTCAGTCCATTTAAAGGAATGTAACATGAAGATTTGGGGCACACATGTCATCTTTAGAGAAAAATCCCCTCTCTCTCAGCACATATTTACTCATGCATGCATGCACGCTCACATGGAGAATGAATTAATGGGTAAAACCATAAGGAAAGTTATGCCAGCGTAGGGTATATGGGCATTCCAAGGGTAGGGCAAGAAAATAAGTTCATTACTAGGTGCTTTAAATTGCAGTTGAATAAACCCAAATCAGCCCATGTTAAACAAAAATGAAAAGCACGTAATTTACTGATAGTTGTTACTGGAAAGGACATGATGAAACTGGATTTACACTTCATTGAATAAATAGCCTCAAAACATGTCATCAGGACTCACTCCATCTCCTCCAACATCTACCTGAGGGTTAGGCTCACCTTGTTAGGTTCGTCTGTGTGGTGAGGAACTTGAAAATCGCAGGATCATATCTTTTGAGCTTGGAAAAATATGAATGAAAAGAGATGAAGAAAAACTCCACAGGTAGTGTCTGATGGCCTGATGGATCATGTACTCCTTTCACCAAGCACTGTAGCCAGGAAGACAGAACACTAGTTGGCCAAGCCTGGGTGCTCAGCTCCATGGTCAGTGGGGCAGAAGACTGTGACAGGCAAGCCCAAAACACCTGGAAAAATAGTGAGTGAAGCTCTGTTACCGAAAGGAAGGTGGGCGTACTATAAGCAGAAAGTGAGAAGAGATTTTGAATGGACAGAAACAGCAAATGTCCACTATGGTTTAGTAGCTAGGTGGAAAGTGACAAGAACATAAACTAACTTGTGGAATTGTTGGTTAAAGAAAAGAACAGAAATGGGAGATACTTAAGGAGCAAAATTGACAGGACTTGGCAAGTGGCCAATAGAATTGTGGTACCCAGTTCTGAGCTAGATGGTATGGCATTTGAATTTTCTGTCAGGAATAGAAATTGTGTAAATAGCAGAAACCTAAATGTGATGCATCCATCACAAAAATGTAGGTGCAGCTGGCATTTTGTTTAAACAAATGTACCACTGAAAGAAATACTAGAGAGGAGGTGAGAAAGAGGAAGAAGTTAGAGATAACCCCTGGTTACCTGACTAGACCTGCAGAGTGGAGAGTGGTCCCATTTACCTGAGTGGGAATAAATGATTGTTGGAAATGATGGTCTATTTATTTTGGCCCCTATCAGAATCATTTATTAGAAATCTGGCACGTCATCACAAAAGGGGATAATAGGGAATTGGTGCCAAACAGTCATCCCATGAGCTACAGTAATTTCAGAGCCAGACAACCCTGCATTTAGACCCAGAGGCCTGAGCAGCTGTGTGACTCTAAGCAAGCTTACTGTCAGCTCTTCCTCAAATATAGAATGACAAGAATTGCAACACCTACATCATAGATAATGTACATAAATTGCTTGCATGGAAAGAATTCAATAAATGCAAGTTCCCTTCTGACTGGTGCCCAAAGGAAGTAAATTACCAAAGATGAAGTATCAGTTCAGAATGCAAAGAGAAATATATATCCAGTCCGTACTACTACCTGCCAGACCTCCTGAATACATAATACAATATGAGAGAGGCAACATTTATAACTTCAAGGAGTTTTCATTTATATTGGGATTTACAAACAAACAAGATAAATTCAGAATGTAAAGTGTTTTGAAGAAAATAAACAGGATGATATGATAAATAGAAACTACAGTAGGTTCAACTGATTGACAGGTTGATTACCGTGGACCTTTCCACCCTGGAGGAGACAGAGACTTATCGTTAACAGAAATTTCATCTACTCCACGTATAGGTGTAAATTCCCTGTGTGCAGGGCCTCCACACCAACACCATGTAAGGACTTACAGAATGCCTTACTGATCCTTGTGGAATCTTCTCTAGCTCTATGATACAGAACCTATGATGTAGGACCACTGGCAACCATATGCGTATACAAAGGAATTAACACCCCATAGGATAACTCTCTTCTGATGAAGGGAGATAGCTTGCTTGTCAATAATATCTGCTATATTCTGAGAGAGGCACAGAGGAGCAAGGGGTAAATTCTGTGATGTAGTCCATATAGCTCCTTGGAAGATCCCCAGAGGAAAATGCCAAGCAGCATTTATCAACTAAAGAGCACACCATTTTGAATTGGCTTTCTCTCTTTCCCTGTTTCATCCTCCTCTGTCCTACCCTCTTATTTCCCTGGATCACCTCCCCAATTAAACAAACCCTTGTCTCTAGTTCTGCTTTATAATGACTCAAGCTAAGATCCTACCTTTCTTCTAATTCTCCTCCTACCCATTTCTTATAGATTAATTCTGCTAGTTCTGTGCGTTACTATCTGGAATATTGCTTGGCAGATACTTTGAAATGTAGCATAATGCAGTGTGTGATTGTAATGGTTATATGATGAACTTTACCCACATGCCTTCCAGTAATTCATCAAACGTGGCACAAAGAGTTCTTTGTTTTGGATGACCACTTTTATGAAATTTAATATGAAGTGTTCCTCATTCAAGCTGAGCAATTTAAGTAGAAGTTTTCCTTTAAAGGATATTTTTGGATTATAGATTTTCAAATAGCTATAAAACATACAGTGACTGAACATTGGTCTCTGATTATTCAGCTAAAAATTGGGACTGTAAGATGAATTCTTGATCATCCATGTTAATTCGCATGCTGAGAGGCTCCCTTTAAATCCTTTGAAGTATAACAGGTATTATCTCCAGATTATTAATGTTCAAGAGAGTTCACTGTTTGCCAGTCTGTGGGCTTAACTTTACACAAATATTATTTTAATATCTGTTAATCCTTTAAGTTTAATGATTTTTTTTTTCTTTTCGGCAACAAAAATAAATGTATTCTTGTTCCTGTGATAAGGGATAACTGTTTCCCTAGACGAGGATTTTGGAAAATTCTGATATGGTGATGCCAGGGTACTTGCATTGTTCATGCAAAACCTTAAGGTATACACAGTATGTTGGCTTTGTGTAAAAATAGAGGCTTAGGAACTGGAAGGTGTGAAACATCTTTCCTCAGTGTTGTTTGCTTACATCCTGGGGACCCATAGGGCTGATAAAACTGAGCAATTGTTCACTCAGGTTTCTGAGTGGGAATGCTGTAAACTCAGCATGGAAATGGGGGGATGTTAAAAGATCACCTGAAAGAAGTCTCAAAGTACTCTCTGAGAGCATGCCAAAGGAGCCCCTAAAGGAAAGAACTGTGGATCGCACATCAGTGAATGAAAATTCAAGACCCCTGAGTCCATTCTCATTGAATACACTTTCCCTTCTCTTGTTTAATAGCCCCGGTGGGCATCAATTACTTGCGCCCCAGGCTAGAAGATTGCCTGCTTTCCTGAGCAAGAGGTCTTTGTAGAACTTAATAGAGATTTTTCCTTTTACTTCCATGGCTTGAATTCTCCTGAGTTGTATTGTCTTCATTCCTATTATTTTGAAAAGGGAAAATAAAACAGTAAACTGCAATAAGACCTACCAAGGTGCCAAATAAATTCAAAATAACTTACAACTGCAATTTCTTCAAATAAATGAGTCCATACCTAGAAATCAGGATGCCTTTACTGCTTCCAAGCACAGCTTTGGTTAGAGAAATTTGTGTAATCCCTCTTGATTATACGAGAAGTGAGCAATTGAAAACTGCAGGGAGGTCAGAACTCCAGCATGAGTAATGACCCAAGCTGACTGCCATTAGTGATGAGACAGTACTGACTAAGATCCTTTACTGATAGCAAT